AGTCCGATATCAGTTGTTTGGCGTAGCTTTGTCATGATGTGAGAACATGAGCGTTGTACAGCATTTAAATCTATTTTGCAAATGCAACTTTTGATTCGGTTTATCATCTGATTTCTATTCTTGGCCCTCCAATTGTTTTTGTACACCAACGAACTCATATTTCCAAAAATATCATCATTGGGCGACACTGAGGCAAGTTTGTTGGATTGCGGTTTTTTTTGGTACATACGGAATATTTTGATTTTCCAAGAAGGTTACCCAAGTAGCATTGCAAGTTTTATCGAGGTTTTAAAGCATGCATCAAGTCTAAATCATGGTCTACAGATCGCTCATAAAACTAAAATTGTTGCTTGGGTAGTGTTTTCTTAGCAAAATTCAATGATGCTTTATCAGGCCAAAACACGTAGTTTCCGTCTGCGTGATATTTTTGAAGAAATGGAATCAATATTTTCTTCAAACATTGATTTTGGTACCCTTCTTGGTTGATAGCCAAATCGCTAGGCTTGACCCATGGTTTAGAAAGTCCTCTCTCCGATTTGGCAATATAGGGGAATTTGGGCCCATACATAAATTCAGCAATCGACTAAATTTTCAATAGCGACCAAAAATATATCCATTAGTACCGTCCCAATGACGCGTTCATCTAGATAAAATTGATAAATAGCAGATTTTTAGCGATGGGCCCAATCTTAGATCCATAGGCCAACATTAGAGCCATTTCCCCTACAGCATCACTTTCTGTTCAAACTTGTGTTTGAACTTTAATCTTACATTTGGAGATTTTTTTTTCCTTGATTTGTTTTCCGTCGATCTTGTTTTCCGTGCTGAGCACCAATGCTATCGACGCCTGGGAGGCAGCCCCAACCCGGGACGCTATTTATCGACCCATCAACTATGAACCGGGGACCAACGGCTTTTCTTAATCAGAGATGTTATGCGTCAGAACATCACGGCGGCACCGACTGGGATTGAACCCAGGTCTGCTGGGGTGAGAGGTAATCACGCTTACTACTACACCACCGGCGCCGTTGTCACATTTGAAGATGTTGTACAAGTATTATTTGAATAATATCGATCATTTACAGGAATGTGAGATTTTGTTAACTCCAAAACGAGACATTTTTCTGAGTAATTTCGCGGCGTCCCGCAGATTTATCGAATCTTTGTTGTTGACCGTATTGTGTAGCGATCGAAGCCCTTTTTTGTTCATTATTTTGGCTGGTTTTCCGCTACCCCTCTTCCGAACTGTTGTCAAGCATTAGTAGTAGAAATTGGTACATTCTCTGATTTGAAATGATCCACCGTAAACTTTTTCCACACTTTTTGTGTGTTTTGAAGAACTGTACAATGCCTTCACGAAGTGCTTCTTGTTTTGATGCCATTTTGAACACAAATGAGCATGTAAAAACAAAACAAAAAATTCTATAGTTTTGTGGAGACAGAGAGCATCGATTTGCATAAACCGTCTCTTTTTTTTTGTGGACATTCGTGGTTTAGTATGAGAGAGTTGAAGCTATTCTCTTTTTTTAGTTATCACCCGTTACCAGGATGTATCCACGTTCTTGCCTGATTTTTTAACAGTTTTTGTACAGTAACTGAAAAAAAAACCCTCAAATATTACCACTGATTTGGAAAGTATGATACATTTCATATAAGAATTGATTAAGTGTTTATGATTTGCGTTGCTCAAAATGGTTTGGTGAGCGACTATGTTGCGTGACGTTACAACGTTTTGCACTTCTCAACTAAACTTCTCAACAATTACTTATCAAAGCGTTTTGAGCTACTCCAATCAGAAACTCTTGATCGATTCTTATAGGAAATTGAACGCACTTTTCTTATCTGCAATAATATTTAGGGGTTGTTTAAAAAAAATCAGTTACTGTACAAAAACTGTATAAAAACAGACAAAACCGTTGAAATGTCACTCCACAAGTCCTTGCAACATTTTATAATAATTACCGACAAGAGAAAATCATTTAGATAGCCTTGTAGCATGGTATAAGGTGGCGTCCCTTAACTACGTAACGCATAAACTCGAAAAAATCGTCTCCTCCGCCCCTTTGTAACAAATCGTAGTTCGGAAAATAGCTCCCCTCCATAACGTAACGCGCTTAAAGCACCTCCCCCTCTCATATGATGAAATTCAGATTTTTCAATAAGTTTTTGATTTGGTTATAAGTTCTTTACTGATGAATGTGGGCGTCTATAGAGAATACCTGTATAAAGAAAGAGAGAAGTATCCGTAATTTATATTTAATTCCATTTTCTTAATTGCTCATTAACTTCTTTATTTTAATTTAAAAAAGTAAAAGTAATTTAACATATTTCAAATAAAAACGAAAGACAAGCGTACCATTGAGTATGCTTGTTTTACGAAAGCAAAATATTCAAGCCGGAAATTAAATCATATCCATTTTATTTATTTGTTCACCATCTTTGGCAAAATAGCCACACAGACTGTTTAAAAATACTCAATTTTATTTTTCAAAACTAGGCTACTAATATTAAAATCAAACACCTCATACACGTAATTAAATTTAGCAAACAAGATTTAGTGACGACATTTTGGACCTGTATTTTTAATCTTTAAACAACAAAAGGTTCATTTTTTCTCTTTGTTACGTAGCACAAAGCTTGTCTCCCCTATACAACAGTTCGTAACGATAGAGGTGACCTCTAGTTACGTAATTTATTAACGCCGTCTTACTCCCTAGTCTGAACTAAAGAGCCTGAATTGGGTAAAGAGGCGTCTTCTGCTCGATTGGAATACACTGGAGTCGCTTTTTACGCGGGTGATACGTCCCGCGTAAAAAAAAACCGCGTAAAAAAAACCGCGTAAATTCCGGAATCCGCGTAAAAAAAAACCGCGTAAATTCCGAAATCCGCGTAAAAAAAAACCGAGTAAAAAAAGACCGTGTAAGAAAAAAACGCGTAAAAAGCGATATACCGCGTAAATTCTGAAATCCGCGTAAAAAAAAACCAAAATCCGCGTAAAAAAAAACCGCGTAAATTCCGGAATCCGCGTAAAAAAAAACCGCGTAAATTCCGAAATCCGCGTAAAAAAAAACCGCGTAAAAAAAAACCGTGTAAAAAAAAACCGCGTAAAAAGCGACTCCAGTGTACCTTTTCCTATGACTTTGACAGATAATCGATTGTTCCAACTTTGACATGTCGTCTCTTTATAAATTCAGGCTCTTTAGTCTGAATTTAGCATTAGGCCAGGCGCTCACTGGTGTGGCGGTGATGTGGTATCATACAACATGTCAAAACGCCACACGCCACACAACTTCGACAATGTGATGTTTTGACATACTGGCAGACGCCACATCAGTGGGCACCTTAACATTCATTGGAAGTCGTTTTGAATGGCGAATGGCACAATTCAAGAGCAAATTTTCATCACGTCGAAAGTAACAAAGGTAAACAAAGTCGAGCTATCAGTGTCAATCGATGCTCCTGCTATTACACTATATACAGTCCGAATATAGGATCACATCCCATTTTTAAATTTATTTACCTGTCAAATTGCTTTTTGACGTAATCACTTTCCGATCAAAGTAACAGCGCTGTTTTGAGCTGTTGCTAAGATGATCTCGGTGGTCATATAATGATGAATGGGCCGCACGTAAGGAGACATGATTGATAATTCTAGACTAACATTTGAAAAGGACGTAATTCCAAAATGACCATATCGAGAAAATTGCTTCTGAATTTTGATGACCTAAAAATTAATCCTATTTCACGACTTTCCATTTTCTGGATGATTTTATAAGCTTGACATATAGTTAATAGTGTAATCTATCATCATGCATCACTAAAAACTCAAAAAAAGTTTTCTTTGTGGTGAAATCGAGAAGAAAACATCATACGCCCTGATAAGTTCATACATGTTGTTACCCCCCGGATCTTCCACCCTTTGAACTGCCAACACTGGTGATACGCCGTGGAAGTACACCCTCGGGATTTTTTGTTTGGTGTTCCGCCTTGGTTCTTCGTTCGCATATTTTGTGAGAGTGGAATTACGCCCGGAGATTTGTTGGTCTTCTTTTTGTTCGTTGTTTACACGTGAACTATCAATCGGATGCATTTCAAATGAATCGGGCTTGACTAGATACTACAGACTCAATACGTTTGGCATATTAAAACGATATAATTCGTAGGCGTAAACAACCAGATGCATCATAGAGTTGAAAGTTGGGAATACGCCATGTAAGAAGAAACGTTTTTGATGATTTGAAGTGATATTTTCTTCTACTTTTTCGTGTTTATCAAGTAGTTTGTGAACTATTCTCTCTATATGTGGCAAAATATGGTTTGTTTACATTTTGGCTCTTCCGCCCCTTTCAAATGTTAGTCTAGAATTCTCCCGAATATCCCGGTAAATACACGTTGACTTAAGTAACATTAGATAATATATACGTAGTATAATAACTTTTGACTCAAAAACCAGTATTTTTAGCATGAAAGCGATCTGCTTTATATGATTAAAACCCTGCTTAATATGTTAAACATTGCTATCACTATGAGATTATATTTGTTTAATTGGAAATAGGAATAACTTTTCGGTCATCAACTCAACACTTTATTTTTTTCGTTTCGGTGCGAATGTTACTTTTGACATAATGAAAATTTGCTCTTGAATTATTCATTATGAAATTCAAACAATGTCTGTCACCCCCTTCCCAACAGGGTTTGTCAATCCCAGTTTCGTTCTAAAAATCAATGACTCATTTATGTTTGTTAGAGGTTAGAGTTTGCTGAACTGCTCGCAAGAAAATTTTCCAAAAGTTGTAACCTTTTCTTCAGACTAGCGATGGTGTCCAAAACAGAACCATATGATCATATTTTGAATCTACTAAATAGGAACCTATCGAAAAAAAATATATATCGGTAGCTTGCCAAAAAAGCTCTTTATGTAAATTACGCATAAACCTTTACGCATTAAACCGTTTAAAGATGTTTAACTAAACAATTGTTTATCAACTTATCTTCTACAGGTGAGGTCAAGATCAAAATTGACAGCTGCCTGTGCGACGCTTGTTTCCGACATGTGGATCGAAAAGCCAACTGTCCATCGTATCGGAAGAAGACAGAGGCCAAATCACTTTCATCTCTGGCAAAAATTCAAAGCAACGTGGATGCCACCAACGAAGACAAGCAATCTCAGGATGAAAGCTCCGCAGGTACAAGTGCGACAAGTTCTGAAAATTTGCAAACATCTGCGGATGAGTCCAAAGAAGGATCTGTCCAACGGACGGAAGAGCTGGAGACTGTCGAGGAGAAAATTCAAGGAAGCTGCCACGTGCGAAACTGCGGTGCCGGTGCTTCCCATACCATTCGTCGCAAGTGGCTGCTGAAGATGAAGAAAACCATTAGCAAAATTCTTGAGATTAACCTAGAGCAAACCAATGCGGTGTCGAATTTGATTCCCCTCTGCGATGGACACTACGAGCTAATAAGCCACCTGATGATTTGCGCCATGTGCAAACGTCGACTGCCTAAGAACCACATTTATTACATTGTCAATGTAAGTATTTCCGCGCAAGTGCTTCTCTCGCCCCGGAAGGAAGAGAAAGCAATAAATTTCCCAACTTCCCAACTCCTTCTGTGGTCTGTAGCACCAATTTACAGTACGCCCTTCACTGCCACGAGGGGGAGAGTGCAAAATACTTGAATGTTTCAACTTACCAACTCTTTGTTCTTGTTTTGCTTGTTTTTCAACAGGAAATTCCACAATTAGAACGGCTCATCCAGGAGCAGGGAATAGCAATGAAGCTCGGCAATTCAACATTGGTCGTGTGTAAATTATGCAGATACTATGCTAATTTGTTGCTCAAACCGCCGGATGCAAAGTCGCAGAAAGCTCAGTTCATCAAGAACTACAACCGAAGGTAAGTTTTGCTATTAAATTGGCGAAAACTGAGGGGTAGAAGTTTAATCGTTTGTGGTGATTTGAGTTAATGTTCTGTAAAACTAATCTACGGAAGAAGGAGTTTTCATTTCGTGAAAAGTTCTCGTGAAAGACAAGCAGATCTGCTTAATAATAAGTATTGCGTTTCGTCTTTTTTGCAGATTGCTTCAATTTTATGAACGCGAACATGAGCTACAGGAAATGGCTCTGGCTTCCGTGGAGCCGACCCGGATCGTTACGAATCCGGACATTGTCATCTCGGACGGCGAAGACGACACCATCGAAATAGTCCCCGTTGGTGAATCGGTATCCTTGCAGCGTCGTAGCCACCACTCACGTAAATCAACCGATCTCTCCATAGTGGACGCCAACTGTGCCCAAATGGCTGAACTCGAAGAAGTAACAATCACACCCGCCCCAAAACTGACCAGCACTGCCAACGTCAGCGGCAACAGTTCAATTATTCTCGATACCGACGTTTCCATCGAACAGCCTGCATCGGCAGAGAAACGTCGTAAGGACGACAGCATCGATATGACCAAGGCATTGAAGGCTAATCCCAACATTTCAATGCGTGAGTTGTTCCCGGGAGAGGAGGAACTAGGCATTCATATCAATATTCCATTTAACAATACCTCGACAAGGACGCCCGAAGGATGGGTCAAGGTGAACACCACCCTGCAGTACGATGACTCCACTAGAACCCTGTGGGAAGAGCTACAGAAACCGTACGGCAATCAGTCAAGCTTTCTCAGACATCTGGTGCTCTTGGAAAAGTATTTCCGCAACGGCGATTTAATTCTTTCTCCACAAGCTAAGAACAATGCTGCCACATACTCAGAAGCCGTTCAGAATCGGCTTCGATCGTTCGACAACGTTCTAACTCCCCCTCCGGTAGCAGTGATCGATAAAAGTGCTATCCGACAACAGTTGGGTAATGCACCGATAACAATTACTGCCGCCACCAAAACGAGGACAAAGTCTTCAACCGAACCGGTCAGTTTACTCAAATCCAACAATCCTCACTTGATCGGTGGAACGTCATCTGGTGATGCATCCCTGAAACGAAAACTTTCAACTGATGCTAAAGCCAAATCCGCGTGTGGCAAACCCGATGCTGCCGCAGGAAGTAAAGTTATTAAGTTAGACGAAACAATAGTTGTACCTGGAGGCAAGTCTTCGAATCTAGTACCACCTGAGCTGATAAGCATCAATGCGAAACAAAATGTGACTATTACCTCAATTCCGCCTGTTAAGCCACCATCAACGTCGACACAAAGTCTACCGAATCCGCAGCAATCGCTTCTCCAACCGCAGCAATCGTTACTGCAACCGCAATCTCAGAACAAAAAATCACCGGGATCAGCTGCCATGCGTGAGATCATCAAACTTCCTGATCAGTTGACCGAGGCCGAACGAAGGGAAACTTCTAAACCTTGGCGTCCAACACTCATTCCGATCACACCTGGAAGCGCTGAGACTATTAAAGCTGGCCCACTGTACCAAACCGCTGACGGACGCAGACTCCCAAAGTTGGTGCAGGTCATGTCCGGAGGAAAACCGTACCACATTTCGATACACGACTACAATCGCATGTGCATATTACGGCGTGAAAAACTGCTCCAACAAAGGCAAGATCTGATGCAGCACCAGTTTCATCAACATCAAAAGCGGCTACAGCAGCAATCGCCACCTAATCCCGCTAGTATAAATGCCACAAAGACGACTGGCTCGAAATCTTTGCTGGACAACGCAATCAGTTCCGCAAAAATGGTTCAAATTCCGAATCAAATTCTTGAACAGAATTCCCTTATACCGATACCCAACAATAGCGGGAACAATGGCAGCAACAACAGCAATAACTCTTCCAACAAATTAAATGGCCCCAGCAGCGAGCTTCAACAATTGATCAAAACGCGTAAACCGGGTAGTAACAATAACATGATACCTCCTGTGACAAGTGGCCCAGCGTTCTTTAAGAACACCTTGCCGATGAATGCCACTTCTAACAAGCCGATCTCTTTACCCAATAGTACCAGTATGTTCTCGATGGCTGGCACGAATCAGCACCAACAACAGCACCAATCCGGTTCAACAAACACTTCCTCTCCTGTCGGATCGCTACCCACGACACCGTCGCAGCTCGATCAACTCATAAAAAGTAACAACCAATTCCTGAACAATTTCGTCAGTCAATCGCAGCTCAGTGCGATGGTTGCAGCGGCAGCAGCAGCGGCCGTGGCCAATTCAACCTCCAACTCGCTAATAGGCGGTGGAACGAGCGGTGGCTCGATCCTGATGGACAACACGGCCGCTCAGCTGCTATCCAAAATACCAAAATCCCTAACTGTGATACCACAACAGAAACAAAGATCCTTGTCACGTGTCTCCTCGAACGAGGACCAAAGCAGTGCCTAAGCGAAAGTAATCAATGATACAAGAAAACATACAACTGCACACTAAACATATAAACAAACAAAAACACACAAAGAGAGAAAGATACCTACTTGAAGAAGTGAGTTTCCAATTTTTATGAATTAGAATTTTGTAAAACCGAATCAACAAAATAAAACAAAAACCTGAATTGTTAACATACAGAAAATACAAACAAAAACAAATCAATCTGATAACTAACAGTAAACAGGCTTGGGAATTAAATTAACCAATTGCTCTAGTCACTTTGGCTTGTCCTTACATGCATTACGATTCTAATGAGTTTTCGTTTTCGATTTGATTGATTGCAACAACCTTAACGGACGAATGACATTTCAAGTGGACACACATAAGGAGAACATTCCAGCGCGGGTGAGCGTACTCAAAGACCTTCGACCAATACGCAATGGGTAAGGATTGAAGTCCGACAGGATGCTCAGTTATGCAGAATCCTGGTTAGACCTTCACTACCAACCTTGCAATAAAAACGACAACACCACTAAGAGACAGAAATTCGTCTCGCTCGTGTAGCCTCTGCATGAACAACGCTTACAAATGTCTCACCCTTCAAGCCAGTGAAGCAATTCCGACTTGAAATTCGAACGTGTTTAATTTACACGGTCACAGAGAAAAGGGAAATTACTCAACTGAAACTATAAGGGAATAAATTCACTGACACCGACGGATGGAATTTTCGTTGAATCACCGTTTTTATCATAGACTTTTTGCCGCTAATGCAAACACTTTAGTTATAGTTCCGCAAGCATTATACATAAAGTATAATTAAAATCATTTGCAAGAACATAATTTATAAGATTGCAATTACTATATGTTATAGCTACGATGAAAATATGTACTACACTCCCAGCAAACTCACTCACTCAATCACTCATAAAAAATAGAACTGCATATTAGCAGTCTGAGCACCGATATCATTCAGAATAAGTTGCGGTAGTAGAATAAGTTTTTCTTCTATTTTTCCTATCCCTACCTTTAACTGAAACGTAGGCACCACGACCTGATTTGGGTCTATTTAATTACTGTTAACTTATTACTGCAAGCAGTCTTTTCTTTTCCTTTATCCGGTATATTTGCTCTTGGTCAGCTCTATACATAATCATTTTCTGATGATACAAAGTAAAAAAGCAACTAGTTTTTTAAGGATAAAAATACAATTGGATGAACTAATGATCATATTGCACTTATCAACACTCTAAGGTAAGAAAACCATCAGAAGATGGATGAATATAAATTTGAAGACAAAACTCTGTTGAAAACATTACACGAAGAGATACGATGCAACAAAGAGAAACAAAAATAAAAGTTACAAAAAAAACACGAAAGAGCAAACATATGATAAAGTTGACTATTATTTAAAAAATTTAGGAACCAGAGAGTAAGGAAACATATTTTATCACCCTATCAATTATCAACTAAAAGAACAAAAATGCATAAAACTTAGGAGTATGCTTTGAATGAAAGTGTATAAATTTGAAATAAAATTTGAAGTATTCCCACAAAAGCACCGAGTTTGGCGTATGTTCAACATCCGAAATCATAGGTAATTTTCTTTGGATCCCAAACATTACTCGTAATGCAGTTTCCCTGGTTCGTTCTCAACGCAATACTCGTGTGGAAAAGACGCCGAGAAAATCTTCGTATTCTTCTTATGTCCCCACTGGGACTCTACATCGGCACTCAACTTAGTGTTCTTTGAGCAGCTTTCTAAGCTATTATCATTTTTGCATTCGTATGGTAAGGTGGGACAAGATGCATCGTATACTTAATTTTTTTATTTATTTCAAATTCAAATTAAATTATATTTAATTTTAATCTAGGTGCTCCAGCTACTATAGTAACTTACCAGCCTTAATTGTTATGATATATATTAACGGGTCGTGGCTCAGTATTTTAGAAAAAAAAAATGATTTATTCACTTATCTTCACTACTTATTCACTAATTAATTAATTATTATAAATTGGAATTAGCTTCGCTTCTATTCGCGGACACGAACTGGAATGATTGAATTTGTCAAAGTATCCCTACTTGTTACCTACTACTAGCCTGAAATTCTGCTGACGCTGTCCTGGGTGCGAAGTACATTCGTCGATAACGTCCGGTCTCGTTGCTGGGGCCATTCTGTCGTTCAGCACTTTTCGGAGTGCTTGCTATCTAGATTCCGTTCCTGTTGCTGAGGGCGTCATATGCCGTCAGCAATACTTGATGTAGGTACCAACGTAACTATAATATATCTAAGTGTGTTTACATTCCCCCTTATTCTGCGAGTCACGTGACTCTCTGTCACCGGTGAGGTGACAATTGTCACCTCGTGTGAGGTGACTCTCCATGTAAATCAAATGGAGAGTCACCTCACACGAGGTGACTATTGTCACCTCACACGATGTGACTATTGTCACCTCACCGGTGAGAGAGAGTCACGTGACTCGCAGAATAGGGGGGATTATTCCTGCTTTGGCAATTCAGTATTTTAAACAGGTTTTCTATACCTGAACTGCCCACAATCGCAAGTCAGTCCCATCTGTAAAAAAAAAACTGGAAATTAGAAAACGGCGTTCGAAGATTTTACAAGTTTTCTGATTTACACTTATTTTGGAGGGATAATTTTAAAAATAAACGTGCAATGTAATAGAATGCATCTATGTTTACTTAAAATAATTGGATAAAATATCGTAAAATTTTTATTTCATTACCAAAATCCGAGCGGGACTGACTTGCGATTACATTTAATATCAATAAGAAAAATAACCACAAGTCAGTCACAATGCCATGGTAATGCTGTATTAATTTAGCACAGTATTGAACAGTAGAAAGATACCATGGTCCCATAGAACGTTATAGAATGTTTCTGGATTCGTTCGGCTGGTTCTAGGACAAAGGCCGGAACATATTCCAGAACTTTTCAAACACGTACCAAGCCCACCATGCGATAAATCAATTCACATGAGAGTTCAAAAATAAGATCAATAAGGGTCATGATGAGTAACCAGCCCCATGTTGGCCGCACCCGGCAATGCTCCGGGTTTCCCCAGGGAAGTGGCAAAACCTTTTTAAATCAAATTCATCATGCGACACATTAAATCACATGAGAATTCAAAGCCATATCCATTAGCGGTCATATTGAGGGTCGTATGAACTATATTGGCCACATCCGGACATGTTCCGGATACTCTAGGGGAAGTAGACAGAACCTGTATTGAGTCAAATCTCATGATGCGATAGGTTGTCTAACATTCTTAATTCTATAGAAGCAAGTAGAAAAACACAGCTGTGACGTGACGTTGTTTTATAGTTTATTTAATGAAATCTTTTTTTTTACCGTAATGGGACTGATTTGCTGTTACATTTCGCTGTGGGATCTCTTAACTTAGTATTGATTTTCAATTTCCTTGAATAAACTACCTTTTTCAATAGAACAGCTCAAAAAACATAGAAAGATAAACTGAATAATGATGCTATCTCAAAATTGATTAAAATACAGATGGGACTGACTTGCGGTTAGCATGTCAGTTTAACAATTGTCATCTTGTATATAAATATAATCGTTGCAATTGAGGATTGCAATGAATTTTGCCTGAAATTATTAATTATTTTGTTGGACATTTGTTCTAAAGTCTCAACATTTGAAATTCTATGTACCTCGGTAGTATGAAGATAGTTTGCTCCAGTATCACGCGTGATATTGGGAGCAAAAAAATATCAATTTGCTAATGATCATGCCACACAGCAAAAAATAAATTTTAATATCACATCCAAGAAGATGCACTTCAATCATGTCGAAAATCTCGTGTAATTTTTATGGCCGCAAAAATAAAAATAAATGCAGTAAAAGCAACGTAATATCAGTTCATGCACTGTATTTAAGATAATTTTGTCCTTTTTGGCAAGTAACATTCCACCATATTTTCGACACGATTGAAGTGCATCCACTTTGATGTAATATTAAAATTAATTTTTTGCTCTGCAGGTACTACCTTTGAATTTGGCTTGATCGAGTGGCGATTTTCTTTTCTTTAGATCAAGACGATGAAGTGTTGAAGAAGACAACGAGATTTACTATCTGCACGCTGGATCAACATATAGCCATGCTAGAGCGATAGAACATCATTTTATTTATATAAAAACAAAACCATCATAACAGATTACCTATCAGGAAAACCCTTTGGGATATGGGATCTCGGAGAAGAAGAAAATTGGAAGACCATGCTCCACTCACGTTCTGGAACAATGATCAGGAAGAGCATCTACAAGAGAGTAGTAGAAGTGACCACATTGCCCCGAGTAGCTGTGATGATATACGATAAACAACAAGATAAGGAACCAAAGAAAATAAGAAAACCTGCGTATACCTGGAAAACCTGTATTCGACAGGACGTGGAGAGGAGCGAAATTCCCATTGAAGTATAACAGGATATAGCACAATAAAGGAGCTATGTAGTTCAATCAAACCACTAAAAATCTGTGTAGGGTAGTCAAATTGTCAATTGTTGGCGTATGGAAGCTAAAATCAAGGAGAAAGTGATGATGTACGGTTCATTACCATGTTTTCTACGATGATCGAGTGATTTCGAACTATAAAACGATGATTTTTCATGATTTTTAAGGTATTTTTTAAATCGATTCCAAAATGACAGCGGGGCAAAACGCTTCATTCATAGTGCAATATGCACCACAACATTTGGGCAAGACGCACGACAACAATGGTCAAAACGCACCACAACATTGGGGTAAAATGCACCCCTGCAAGTAGAGAATGCAAAGGCATGAGGTATTTCAAATGATTATTCCTTTATGTTACATCAGAAATAAGGTCTCAATAGAGTTTTAAACTGTGATTCATGAAGTAAAACATCTAAAAAATATACGAAAAGTGAATTCGTTCCATTCTTTCGCTGTTGAAAGCTTAATTTGTAGTCTATGATTTTAACAACTGTCATGTGTCATGTTTTGCACAAAATGCAAGTTTGTTAAGTATTTTATGATCAGGAATTATTTGTGAAGCCTCCAGTTGAAAACAAACACAATCCGTTACCGGGAAAATGCATCTGAGGAAATGTTATCGTTGTTTTTCTATAAGTGGGCATTTTACCCCAGGCGTGCATTATAGGCTGTTCTCCCCGTTCTCCCTTAGTAACATGGTGGAGTCGGAACTTGACACTAGCAGCGACTCTGACTGGGATAGTGAAACAGAAGACCTAGTTCCTTCAAACTTCTCCGGATTCAGTACCCAAGTAACAATTGGGGTTTTATGAGGGTTCTGTAGATCATGATTTAGACTTGTGGAATACTATAAAACCTCGATACAACTTTCAATGTTACTTGGGTAATGAGGACCCCATCATGAGAGGAACCGATTCTGGCGAGGAAGTCGGTCCAAGGCAACGACAGTAACAACCCACAAAGCATCCCCAATCAACCGAAGATTTAGCAACACAAGTAAGCCAATAATATCATAGGTAAGTTCACACAATTGTTATATTAACATGCTACCCTAAAGATCCCTATTCAAATGTGTTAGCAGTGCCTTTTAACCACCATTGGTTGTCTCTCTCTGCTGGCGTTCAAGTAGCGGAACTATTGAACAGAGCAGGTGCAGACAACTGAGCCTCAACCTGTTGCAACCTGTGGTCTGCAAAAAAAAAGAGGAGGAACTCCAGCTCTAACGGGTAGTTGATTAGATTTGGAATTTTGATAATTCATGCCAAACACTATCGAATGCTTTTTCTATGTCTAGAAGAGCAACTCCAGTTGAACAGCCTTCTGATTTGTTTGAACGAATTAAAATAGTAACTCTTAAGAGTTGATGAGTAGTTGAATGCCCACGGCAAAATCCAAACTGCTCATCTGCCAAAATTGAGTTCGTATTGATGTGAAGCATCATTCTATTCAAAATAATCTTTTCAAAAAGTTTACTTATTGATGAAAGTAAACTTATTGGACGGTAGCTAGAAGCTTCAGCAGGATTTTTATCCGGCTTCAAAATTGGAACAACTTTTACATTTCTCCATTTATTAGGATAGTATGCTAAATGGAAACATCTGTTAAATAATTTTACCAAGAAAGACAAGGTACTCTCTGAGTTTTTTGATGAGGATATAGAAAATAACATCATCACGTATATATGGGGTTATATCAAGAAAGTGGCACCCCTATCTATGCTAATAACAAGTAGCCATAGCGAGCATAGATTGATAGATTGATATGTGATCACATTTTTTATGCTGGCTACGAAAAGATGGCGGCGTGTCAGGCCCTTGGATTTTATCCATTCTATCGGATTTTTATTCAATTAAAACGTTTGCTATTTTATAGATTTTTAATTGAGAACAGGTAAAGACAAACTGAATTTAGGTTTACTTAAATAAGTTTTTGTTGAAAACCACTTGTCTGTCATAGTTCTGCAACATAAAGAATTGTGATGTCAGGTGCACTTTGATTACTAAAGTTGTTTTGTCATGACTCTAAGTTCCTGAAAAAGGGGTGAACATGTTTGGAACCTAATT